ACCGTGGAAGGGAGGTTTCACTTGGCTGGTGTGTTTCGTACATCTTGGCCTTTGCCCTACCTGTGCGGACTTAACACGGCCTTTCCTGATAGTTTCTCTAGTGATACGGTATTTCGTGATTGGCAGACAAACAGAAAGAAGAAGCGAATTATTTCAATTAGGGTGTTATACTAGTTTTAGACACCAGTAACCTGAAAAAGATCTTTCTTCCGGAGTGCTGTCACTAGGGATGTTTAACAAAGACTTGTAAATCTAATTGGTATTCAAAATTTTCTTCGCTGTGAAAATCTTAGCTCCCTTCGTATCGAATTGATAGTGCGTGATCATCTAACCATAAGAGCATTTAGGAGCGAATACTTCAGCTTGAATTCTCGACTCCGGGACATAATTGTGTACGATTTCGAATACGACAACGATGAGCTGAAGATGGGTGGGCACTGGGGAAATCGATTTAGCATTATTTTGAGGTAGTTTCTTATCTTTCAATTCGAATTCTAGCATTCAATTGCTGTTGTATGAAATTTTTTTCGTATTCATAGCATGATTCAGAAGTATACCACCTGAACTGCAGAGCGTTTTGGAAGGTCGTTTGGAAGAATTCGACCGAAGTGGATTTATAAATTATTTTGGTACAGTGTTGCATTTCAACTTTCGCTGCGTATTTTGCTCTCGATTTTGCTCATTGCTTAGGTATGCAGCGTTTCGGTTCCTGCGGTACAAGCACTGCCGCAGTGGGTAAACTTATACTGAAAAGGGACTGGGAAGGTGCAGTGGCGCTCGTTCTCAACAACGATCATCTTCCAGGTAGAGTTTTTCCAATCAGTTCATACTTTGCTTCATAGCCACATGGGAACATCTATTATTACATAATTTCGTCATGCCTTAGTTAGCACTTCAGATTGAGCCATGAAAGTGCAATATTCCTGTGTGTAAAATTTGGCTTAGGGTATCTTGGTACCGTGGGAGACGCCCTTCGGTGCTGGAAGAAAACCAAAGATGCCTCACAAGCACTTCGTTGTCTGAAGGGAAGCCAGGCGTACGCATCAATAGAAGCCATCATATTCAAGTGTCTCGCCAAAGGCGGAACTTGGCAGAAGGTTAGTCTGTTTGTTATAATTCATTCTACATACTATGCTTGCCTCTGCTTTGTTGGGGTGAATTTGGTGATGAAGCTTACCATTTTTATGCTCGAGAGTCAAATTCCGTACTGGATCTCACTTAGGTTAACCAGGGTTGTTTATTTCACACCAGTTGGAGCCACAAGCTGTTGCGCTCTCATCAAGTTTTGTGGCGCTAAGGAGCGGTGTGAAAAGAATTCTTCAATTTGGCTTGATGCACCACGAATAATTTACCTGCCCTTCTGAGCTAGATTCTATCCGCACCTTCTCGGTCTCGGTGCTACCTATGAACCATATTGCGGCTTTCCAGCTCCGCGCACCACGTTGCATGCCCCACCCACCGATGACCTCTGACTTTCCCTCTCGGACCTCTATCCACTTTTTTCTCAGTCTCTGGACTGTTTTGAAACCGATTATACAGGGTGGTCCAAAATTATGAGGACCAAGACATTGTGTCGTTAAAAACGCATAGTAGCTTGATGGAACAAACCAACTTCAGGGAAGTATTTGTAACTCTTACCTCAAAGTAATTCCAGAATAGAATTGAGATCTGCCACTGCCCCGTTAACACGAGCCTTCGGATGAGGGGGATGGCGCGTGCGGTGGCACGCAACTAAGGCGTGTCCAAATGTTTCCAGGCCTTCTGCTCTGCCTTCTTCAGGGAATCAAACTTTTGTGTTGCATTTATTTGCGCTTGCATCCAGGGTGTGAAATACAGAAATCTAGAGCTATTAGGTGGAGGTTCCATTGTAACAATTCTTCGAAAGCAACGAACTCGAAAAATCGCTTTTTAGAGAATTTTTGCTTTATTCTTGGGTGCTCGGTCCTGTAAAAAGTCCCAAGTAGACTACTCGTGTGGCTTTCTATCCACTACAGATGTGGAGTCTTTAGAGTGTCTGGCTGGGTTTTCACATCAATTTTTTCATTTTGGGTGTACGAAAGTCGACAAGGGGAGACCTAGTTTCTGCATCTGATAATTATCCTGGTGGTAACTGTAACTTTCGAGTCCCCGAATTTTCCATCTGTGGTGGTTCCAAACTTATTGAAGAGTTGAACTGTTGCTCATAAGAGCTTCCTGATAGGTTAGACTGCTGCTAGATGTAACGTGCCAGAGCCCCTAGTGAGTTCAATTTGAGGACTGACTAAGTGAAGTAGTTATTTCACTAGTTTTGAGAACTTCATGAAATTTGGTTTCATTAGGAAGAAGACATTGTACCCTTTCACATAGTGCACAGAAAAGGAGATGAAAATGGAGCGATACGGAAAAAAGTGGATATGACTGCGCGCGCACGCGGTCCTCATAATTTTGGACCACCCTGTAATGTTTCTGGCAACCAGCAACTTCAGTTTGCGCTCCACCCGCCAATAGCAGTCTTCCTTTTTCTTCCTCACCAACCCTCACCCGGTCTCTGGATTGTTTCTTAACCGAATCATGAAGTTTCATGTCGAGCTCTGCCCGTTTTGGTGCTTGGCCTGCCCACCACAACCTCATTTCATTCGCCGACCTCTACTCACTTCTTTCTCGGTCTCTGAGACTTTTCCTACCCATCTTGGTACTTGCCCCGCCCATCCTTGCATATGATATTTTCTTTTATCGGCCTCAATTTACTTGGTTCGTGGTATCTGGACGGCCTTTGAACCAAATAATGAAGTTTCATAACTTCATTTTTTCAACTGGTCTAAGACCTTCTTTATCAATCTGTGTGTCCACCAGCGTGTATCGCTACTGCTTGAATTTTTTATGTTTCTTCCTCTTCCACACCGCAGGAAAATTTTGTCGTAACCGCAAAGGGCTAATGTTTCCTCTTCATTCTTTGTTTAATTTATGTGCAACATTGATTGTAAGATAACAGACGACAATAGCTGATAGTGAGTCCCCTTCGCATTATTTTTTCATCAACCACGTACTGCTGCCTTCTGCGTAATGTTGCTCTTGCCCTTTGATCGGTTTGCTTTAACCGTGTAAGTTCTTTTTCGTTATTTCTGCTTACGTCATTAATGCAATTTCCAGTGGAATGTGGTGTACGAGACTCTTTATAACTTCTTGCGCTCTGAGTGATTAATAGAACAATTTATCAATAACTAGCAGAACACAGCAGAACGAGTGAAAGAATTAGTTGAAGAGGTAGTAACACGAGAAGAGCGATAGTGCCTTGGCGCGGCATGACCCTTAACCCTTTCCGGACCGCCTGACACAC